TTGAGACTGCAGCTGGAGTACCACGTCCAGGTCTGACTGCCACACTTCAACATGGGTGTAGAAAAGCTTGAGAGAGTCCAGAGAAGAGTCACCCATATGATCAGAGACTTGCAAGGCAAGCCATACAAGGAAAGGCTGAGTGACTTGGTAGCTGATGGACTTCAGCCTGAAAAAGAGACAGCTGAGACAGGACTTGGTAGCAGCTTACTGCTATATCAGAGGAATACATGAAGGGCTTGGCAAACAACTATTCACCAGGGCACCTTTGGGAAAAACCAGGAGTAATGGCCACAAACTCCTGGAAGATCATTTTCAGGCGTAACGTTAGCAATAACTTCTTCACAGTTAGGGTGTCCACACTGCAGAATAAACTCCCTCCAGAGGTGGTACAATCATCTACCCTGGACATCTTCAAGAGGAGGCTGGACAGTCACCTAACTGAGGTCACCTGACCCCAGTTGCCTTTCCTGCCTAATGCAGGGGGCTGGACCCAGTGATCTTGCAAGGTCCCTTCCAGCCCGTTACCATTTATGAAACAATAACAGATTTTTTAGACAAAGGAAATGTAATGCATCACTATTGGAATTTCAGTAAAGTCTTTGATATGTTGCAACGTGAAAAACTATTAGTTTAAGGTAAAGAAACTGGGGGTTAGAAGTCTTGTAATGCAGTAAAGGAACTGGCTAAAGGAATAAGGGAAGTATCAGGCTGGACAGAAGTCATCAATGAAATTCTTCAAGTGCAGATCTTACCACTATCCTTAATATCCTCATTAAAAGAACCTGGCACAAAAAAAATAAGACAATGGTAGTTTAACTTGTTGATGACAAAGTTGGAAGAGACTGTCAACATGCAGGAGAATTAGGATATTAAACAGAAAAGACTCAATAATTTCAGAATACTAGAAATAGGCTGAAATGTCATACAAAAAGAAGCAATGCCATGTATCCAGGGATTAACAATAAACTAATATAACACACATGCATAAGAAAAGATGAGCTTAGGTGCTGGTGGAAGAGGAATTGGATAGAATGATCCATTTCTGCTATTCCCAGAACCCAGCAGTTTCTACTAATGATATTCTAGACCTCAGAGAAATGAAACACATGATCCCCAATTAGCACAGATATAACTGGGAAATTCAAAACAGGCATGCTGCTATATGATAACATATCATATGTTATGATTTGTCAATGATGGCAAACAGATATGATAATAGATCCGAATGACTTCCTGCAGGGAAATTTCTGACACTTTCAAGGCAGCTCGGGCTGCCTATATTCAAAGTAGAAATTCTGAAGGATTCTGCTTGCTGTTCTTTATATGCACCAGGGACAGGACAAAAAGCAACAGGCTTAAATTACAGCAAGGAAGCATGAGGATATAGAAAAAGCTTTGTAACTGCAAAGATAGTTAAGTACTTGAATAGATTACCTGGAAAAGGTATGGAATCTCCATTACTGAAGGTTTTAAAGAATAGATAAGAAAACTTCTGCCAGGAATAGTCCAGGTAAATTTAATCCTGCCTTGGAGAAAGGGAATGAACTAAATGACCCTTTCATAACCATTTTCTATGATTCTATGAGACCCTGGATTCTCCGAAGGACTTATACTTCAGAACAAGATTGCTACGGGTCAGTATTCCTGGATCAAAGCAAAAAGCCCTTTAAACCCAGTCGAAGAAAAGGAAATATGTTTCAGCACTGAAAAAAATGTACGTATCCCAAATAAGAGCTACTCAATTGTTATTTGAAACTTCTTTCTGAATCGCTGAGAGGTGGAGGTAGGAAAATGTCTCCATAGCAACTGAAGTCACCATGCATCAGGCAGGTATGTCCACAGTGTCAATGGCATATTATATGAATGCACACAGCACAATCTGACTTTCAGCAATGAACAACTTAAACTCTTCACTATTCCTTTAAGGAAGCTTGTCTGCAAATTCATTTATGGAATTCAAGTAGCCACATCTTACCAAAACCTCTTGTTAATGGGCTCTTTCATTTGGAGGACTGATGATGAGTAATTTTACCATCCAAATAAATCAAATTCAGGGGTTTCTCATCTTGTCCTGTTGCTTTATATTGACTTAAAGCAAATTTCATTCATGTCAGTGAATGACTCACCGATGACCATGATGAGAGGCATTTATAAAACTACTCAAAGTCCTAGAAAAAATCTTGGTTGCAACAGTCTGCTCTCTTTGACATTAGTGCCAGGTAGGGGTGCACCGAAAGAGATATATGGGGCTGATACCAATATCTTATTTTTAAGGAGGCATATCGGCCAATATCGATCCGATTTCTGATACAGCGTGGAGAGCTGTGTGATGCTGGTAAGTCCATTGCGGTGGAAGGGGAGGGGGGAGGAATGGAGCATGGTGGGGCAGATCAACCCCCCCGCCCCACCCCCATGGTGAGGGAGGGGACAGGGGCAGGTGCCAGGGCAGGTTGGGGCATGTGACAGACCAGTGGCTCATCAGGGAGGAGCGGCTCCTGACGCTGCTTGCACCCCAGGAGGGCATGTGCCCCTGAATCTGCGCAGGTTGGGGCAGGTTGCAGCTGCAGGCTGGAGTCAGGACTGCACCGAGCTCTTCTCACTGGGGTTGGGGCTTGGGGCGGGGGCTACATCCACCCCATATTTCACCGTAGCTCCCTCCTCCCAGTGCCACCGCCATGCACCTGGCTCGGCCCCAGCTCTTCCCAGAAGGTGAACCTTGTAAGTGGCCCTCAGAGTTTGAGTTATGCATCTCTGGATTTAGAGACACTACAGCCTCAGATGGAGGGCAGACTTTAAAGTCTGGAAATGTGTTCAGCTAAAAATAAGTTTTAGTTCAAAAGCACACACCACCATTTTCTGCATGCTGACGCAAATTTTGCCTCTTATACAACTGCATGTGTTGCAGCTCCTATGCAGAGCAGACTTAATTAATTGAGTCTGCTCTGACCCACCGGATCTCCAGCACATCATGGGAAGAAAAGGTATGTGTATAAATCCCCCTAAGTATTTACAATTATTTACACTAGGTGTGTCAAATTTACCCTGCAACTTAGGCTGGGTCGGCACTGCGGGGCTTCTCATGGGCCAGATGCACAGGGTACCAGTGGCTGTGATGGGACCAGCAGTGCAGTAGCTTTGGCGAGACCAGTGGTGGAGGCAGTTAGGCAAGTGGCCAAGGGCCAACCAGACCGCCACAGTGGAGGTAGCACAAACAGCAGTGGCAGTGGGCTAACCAGCCACAGGGTGAACAGGGTTGTGTCCACACAGGGCCATGTCCAGCGGGGTCCCAGCTTTTGTGGCAGGCACCACCCCCAAACCAGGCCCTCAAATTCCCTGGTCTGCTAATAGCTCCAAGGGGAGAAAATGAATTGAGGGGCACCCAAACTTTTATGCTTCAGTTAGAGGCACATTCAAGGCACAGGCACAGGCCCAACAAACAGAAGAATCTAGACTTGTGTATACTGTGTACATGCGTCTTTTTTTTTTTTAAACACCTGTGGAGAAGTATCCCCAAAGAAACGGAAGTTACGTAGCCCAGACTGACAGTAGAGAGATAACTTTTTAGCAAATGTTAATATTAATAATGACTATTACACTCTGATCTAAGGGTAATTGCCAATATTACTTAAAACAGAGAGTCTCTGGAATGTAAAATCTACCTATCAATAAAATTGTGTTTCTGCTTCCCATCTACTTACAATTAGGGCTGTCAATTAATTGCATGAGTTAATCGCGATTAACGCATTAAAAAAAATTAACTTGAACAACAATTAATGCGTTAACCACGCATGTGGTTTTGGAGCCCACACCTAGGTTCAGCTCTGCTGCCATCACCACTGCCTCTAGGCCACTCTGTGGAGCAGCGGTGGCAGCACAGCAGACCTCAGGGCAGCCCAGGCACAGGCTCTGGGCAGCAGCGGCGGTGGGGGCAGGGGCACACACAGACGGACACAGCTGCAGCCTTCTTGTGGTCAGGAACACAGCTTGGTGGTGTGTGGAGCAGCACCCAGCAGGCAAATCTGTGAAGGGGAAGGGGCACGGGGGAGGGAAGATTGAGGCCCCCATGGTGAAGGAGGGACTGGGGTCAAAGGCAGGGGCTGGGGCAAATGGGGCCCTGGGGCCAGGGTGGGTCATGGGACTGAACCATGGACAGGCAGCAGGGTGCAGAGCCTCAAGCCTGCAGCAGCAACCCACCTCCACCCCATACACAAATCCAGGGGGCACATGTCCCCCATGCCTCCCCCTGGGGTGTGCACAGCGGCGGGAGCCCCCACCATCCCGTGCCCTTGGGCAAGCTGCTCACGACTCCGTCCCATGACCCACCCCAACCCTGGGGCCCCATTTGCCCCAGCCCCTGCCCCACTCCCTCCCTCACCATGGGGGTCTTGATCTGCCCCCATGCCCCTTCCCCCCAGCAGACTTACCTTCTGGGTGGTGTCTGTCTGTCTGCACATGCATCTGTCAGCACATCTGTCTGCCCCCAACTCCCAAGCCACAGTCCCCCCAGCCATGCTGCTGCCCCTCACTCCTGACCCACAGTACCCCATATCCTGCCAGAGTATGCAGGAACCCCCTTCCTCAGGCTCCAAACCCCCCACACACCCCCACAGCTTCACAAATTCTCCCTACCACACCCACACACCCCCCCAACCACACAAAGAACCTGCATAATTTGGCATAACTGGGTTTTTCTGTGCATAATTTTGAATTTTTAGCTGTGTGATTAAAGTCACAATTAATTGCAACCAATATTTAAATTGCAATATTTTTAATTGCAATCAAATTTTTTAATCGTTTGATAGCCCTACTTACAATATTTCCATGCGAGTCTACTGATGGTACCTCTGATACTAAAAAGAAAACTGGGATGGGCATGTTCAGAGGAGTTAAACCGCATGAAACAAATATATGCATTTGTCCCTCTGTTGGAGACAGCTAACAATGAAATGCATTTATCACTTTTTCTTTGAAAGAAAAAAAGTCTTCTAAAACTCACACACCGGATGCTTTGCTGAAAGTCTTCCAGTCACAGTTCCTGTTTGATTCCATGTAGATGAAAGAAATCCCTTTAACCAAGTTAGAAACAAAAATCAGATAAAACTAATAAGATGCCCAAGTGCAAAATTTAGTATATGAAAATGAAATTTTACTCTGAAGTCTAAATAGTATGTTACTGAGATTTGCATGAAGTAGAATAATGGAATTTTTTTTAAATATTACTATATATAAAAAAAATTATGATTTAAAAAAATTAAGAATCATTTCAGTGCCTCAGAGAGCAATACTTTCCAAAGTTACAGAGTAATGTTCTTACCTTTTTCATGCATGAAAGTAGTCCATCCACATAGGTTGATTTTATTTTATGCACCTGTAATATGGATAAGTATAGCAACATTTTAAATTATGTAAATTATAAGGGGTTTTCAAATGGCATTTCTGATTTTTCAAATCAGTAAGAATTTTCTATTAAAATGTAGACACTTCAAAACAAATAGGATAATGGCCATATTCAATAGGTAATGGTCATATTCAGTCATGGCCCAGTTCACTGTCTTGGATCAGAACTGAAATATTTAGCTAAGTACATAATAAAATATGAAAGTTTTAGAGCTTGGCACTAAAATGACACAGAAGTGAAAACTGATAGGCTAAACTGATACCATGTTGGACTGTAAGGAGACTCTTATAAAAATAATACCTAGCAACTGATCTAGAAGCTGTTTTAAATTGCTCTGAACTTCAGACTCCAATTCTAGATTCTGAGATTTTCTCATTGACAGGGTACTATATCATCCTGACCAATTTCATTGTGATTTTGTTTCACCGTTTGTACAACATTAAGTTAAAATAAAAAAGGTGTTGTGTTCATTGCATATCTAGAACATTCTGATTTTAAATTTCAACTATGTATTTACATAGTGCTTTGAAAGAAATATTTAAAGGAATCATTTAATGCATATACTAGCCAGCAGTTCCTCATATAAGCCATGTGAAGAAGCTAGTTTTCTTGTTAACTCTTGCTTTCAATTACAATAGATTATTCATGAAAATAAGCTCACCTGACGGTATTCTAAAATTATTTTAGGCAACGGGTGAAGATCTTGCAGTTTATTTAACTGGAGAATAAAGACTTTGAGTTATTAGTATGATAATTATCCCCTTAAATTTTACCCTTTTTATACCATCTCAATTTAACCTATAGAAAAATGTTACATTTGACCACCTTTGAATAAAATACAGAGACAAGCCCAGGAGTGGGCAATCCAACTCAGACCTCCACCTCCTCCCCTTCTTGCTTGCTTTCTGACCCTAGGAATCTTGAATTCCTTTTTCACAAGGCATAGCTTCAAGAGGAGAGGCAGAAAGTACCCCCATTCCATTCTAGTCTGTACCCTAGCAGTTAGAGCATTATCCGAAGACGACAACATAGGTTTAAACCCCTCGTGCTGTGGAGGTTCACTTCCTGCATGACTGCTGTAACCAGAATTATTTTGGGACTTCTCCTCGATCCTGACTAAAAGAAACTGGTCCCAGCTACTTTTTGTAAGGAGTCTGATAATGTCGGCGTGTTTTAAGCATGTTCTGAGAATACCTATCATACCAGGCCCCAAGAGGGATCTAGGGGAAGAAGCATCTAGACCCTGGATCTTAGTTGAGATTTAGATGCGAGAGAGATGCCAGGTTGCTTAGACTGGGACAGTTCTGGGCATGCTCAGAGATGCAACTCTAGGCACTTTGGGAACATTTTCAAGTCAAAGAGAGGAGCCTAGTGAATGTAGGTGCCTCCAAAGTTAAGTCAGACAGCAGCAAGGTTGGAAGGGGAGGGGGGTTCGATTACAATTTTGGACTCTGGTACCTCAGTTCTGCCTTACACACCTACATTTTTATGAGGTCTAAAAATATTTTCACTACCAGTCAAAATAAATGTTCCAAAATCAAAAGGGATTTAGAAAAGGGCAATGAGAAAAGATTACATGCAAGGGGGGAAAAAACCTCTCTTCTAAAGAAAGATGGAAAGTGCTGTGACTGATTATCTTTGAAAAGATATGAATAAGATGAAACATAACAAAAATGGTATAATGGTATGAATGGTATCAGAAGAATTTCTTCTCTCTCTCTCTCTCTCTCTCATAATGCAAGGTAAAGGAGACTGTCAATGAAACTGAAAACATAAATTTTGATAAACTGTTACCAAAATTGATAAAAGAAAACAACTTTTTGCACAATATTTAATTAGACTGTGGAACTCTACCTTGAAGTAGAAGATAAGAATTCAGCAAGAGGAATTGGGCATTGGGTAACAACAAAGACACAGAGTACAATAGCTAATGCTAAAAGAATTTTGGATTAAAGATGAAATTTCTTATTTCAGGGTTTAAGCCCACATTTATTTGGAATTAACAGACACCTTCAGGGGGCTTATAACCTCACAAGTGCACATTATTACACCTTCCTGGAAAGCATCCAGTGCTAGTAATTGCAGAGACAGGACCTCAGAGAAAATGGATTATTCATCTAATCCTGTGTGTTAAATTCTTATGTTCCTATGAAAGAAAAAGCATAAATTCAGTTATGCTTTTATATTGTTTTCTCCTGTGAGATATCTGACTGTGTAAGTAGAATATGCACATGAGAAGCTATGCTTAACTCTTGTTTCTTGAATCTGCTGATGACAAATAATTCCTAGTTTTACTTTGTGTTCAAAATATATTCTATGCTAGCCAGCATGGTGGCACTCTTACCTACACCAGTGGCTTGAGTCATTTTTGCTTATGGCTGCACTTGGAAAAATACAACACTCCTATTCTTTGAAATAGAGGATGCCCACAATTTTGTTATTGCTTGATGCAATACACTCATTCTGTGACATTCCCCTCTGCTAGAATATGGCTTCTTGTGTACTGATAAATCAGTGCTAATGGCTTTGGAAATAAGAAATAAGACCAAGATAACTTGGTCATTTGGCCTGAAAGTTGAGTTTCCATGTGAATGCATAGAATATTACTGTACTCTGGAAGCAGAGGTACTTGCAAGAATAACTAGGGGTGCAGACAGAACTGCAGCTCCCCGCTGTAACTGAGAACGCTTTGCAAGAAGCGCTTTGAGTTGCAACAATCTCCTGGATCAAACAGAAGTTCACTGTTCAAAGTTCACCAATGAGCCATTTTTGAAGCTGTCTGCAGTCATGCACTTGTGTTTGGTCACAGCTGTAGACCATTTTCTTTGGCCAGATTGAGCCAATGGTCTACAGCTGTGGTCTACAAAATTATCACTTCTGTCTGTGCCCTCTATCCCATCCTGCCTGGTCTTGCAGAGGGTTCACTGGATCAGACACAGGGGAGGCAATGCATATAGATTTCCCAACCAGTTGACAAGAAGGGCATCTATGAGGGAGCCTCATTTAAGTGAAACAGGGTGCATCTACATATGCAATTAAGGTAAAACAATAAACTAGAGCAATTTAAGCTGGGGCAAAGCAGGCTTGGGTTGGTGGGTGGTACGGGGAGGTGGGGAAGGGGGTCAGCCCCAGGCTCTGGTGGTGGCAGAGGACAGTGAAGGGGCTGGCAAGAGGCAGTAGTCTGGCCCCAGCTGGCTGAACTGACTGGGTGCAATGTACACCCACAGTCACCATCCACATATGGTAGAGTAATTAACTGCGATCGGATGCACAAGATAGTACTGTCCCTGATGGTACTATCTTATGGCAGAGTTAATGAATTTACTGTGCCCTAATACCAACACATGTGTATATGGTAATGCTTTACTATGGAGCTAATTAGTCTAATCTGCAGTAAAGTGCACATGTAGATGCACCCACAGAGGTTTTCCCTGGAGCAGAAGACACAATATTTTCTAATAACCTCCTTCACAAACAGGTCCCAATCTGAGTGGACTCCTTTCACAGAGATGAGTCTGTGAACCAAGTCTGATCTCCCACTTATGGTGTAAAACCAGGCTGCTGAAAGGAAGACCAGTGTGTTCTAGTCATGGAGACCATTGCGTACATGTGTATCTAATCCTGAATACACCAACACCATGGATAGAAAAAATGCCTTTATGCTGAGGAGTAAGGATCTGGCTCCTCCTGGCCTGTTGATGTGAAACACAGTAGCAGCATTCTGACATTACCAAAGCACATCATCCTCAAACACAGGGAAGGTAGGCTTTACAAACTTCCTGCACTGCTCTTAGGTCAGGCTCATGCCCAGTAACCAGAGGCCCTGCACCTGTAGATCTGCATATTGAGAAAGGGGCCTTCTTTCACATGAGGATAGGCTCATCCAAGCAGTCTCTCTCAGGAGTCTCTTCGTGCATGAAGTCTGACATGTTGACTCATGAAGCTGGAAAAAAAGCCATGTGCCCAAGGATGCAGGGAAATACCATTTGTATTTTCCGTCCATCTATTTCTATAGCAATGGACGTGTCCCTGAAGCTGGGGAACAAGTACCAGCGATCTCCAGGTGTGGGGTCTCTGGTTTCAAAGCTGTTAGGGGCTGGAAGGGATCCTACAGATCATTGGGTCCAGCACTTCGGCAGGAAAGACTGCTGGAATCAGATGACCCCAGCGAGATGGGCATCAAGATGCTTTTTGAAGATCGCCAGGATGGATGGTTGTACCACCTCTGGGGGGAGCCTGTTCCAAACCCTCAGCACTAGACTTGTAAAGAAGTTTTGCCTTATGTCTAGCCTGAAGTGATCTTCAATCAGCTTGTGCCCATTATTTCTTATCCTTCCCTGGGGGCCCTTGGTGAACAGATGCTCCCCCAGGCCCTGATGTACACCCCTGATACACTTATAACTGCCAAGTTCCCTCCGAGTCTTCTTTTCTCCAGGCTGAACAGTCCCAAGTCTTTCAGCCTCTCCTCATATGACCTGGTTTCTAGGCCTCTAATCACAGGTGGCACATAGTGCACCCCTGAGATCGGCTGCCGCTGGCTTCTGAGTGAGGTCACTGCTTGCATCTGCCCCCACCCCTTGCTGCCGATGGTGTCTATGGGCACTCCCTGCTCACCCCCACCACCAGAGGCTGCGGGCAGTTCCCACTCGCCACTCACAGCCACGGTGCTCCCCCAGTCTCAGGAGGCACCAGTCATTCATGCCTCTAATCGTGTGGCCTTCCTCTGGACTCTCTCAAGCTTCTCCACATCCTTCCTGAATTGCAGTGCCCAGAACTGGATGCAGAACTGCAGCTGCAGTCTCACCAAGGCTGAGTAGAGAGGGAAGATGACATCCTTAGCCTTGCTCGGGATGCCTCGGTAGATGCATGCCAGTGTTTGATTAGCTCTGCCAGCTACAGGACCACACTGGTGGCTCATGTTCATTTTGTTGTCTATCACGACACCCAGGTCTCATTCAGATGTGGTGCTTGCAAGCGTAGCGTTGCTCAGCCTATAAGTGTGTTGTGTATTATTTCTCCCCTGATGGTGCACTTTACATTTCTCCGTATTAAGTGACATCTTGTTGAGGTCCGCCCATCTCATGAGCCTATCCAGGTCAGCTTGTGTTGCCATCCTGTCTTTAAGTGTGACCACACTCCCCCATAATTTGGTGTCGTCAGCAACCTTTGCTAGTTCACTTTTACTACCCGAATCCAAATTGTTGATGAACTTGTTGAAAAGCAACGGTTCAAGTACTGAACCCTAAGGGATGCCACTGATCACCCTCCACCATGACGACTCAGTTCTGTCAATCAATACTCTCTGGGTACTACCACAGTAGCCACCAGGCCATAAAGTAGTCAAGGCCGCATTTTCCCAATTTTTTCATGAGGACTTTGTGGGAAACCAGGTCAAAGTTCTTTTTGAAGTCCAGGCATATAACATCAACCTGGAACCAACTTCCAAAAGAAGTGGTGCTGGTTCCTACCCTGGGGGTCTTTAAAAGGAGGCTGGACAAACATCTGGCCGGGGTTGTTTGACCCCAGTCCTCTTTCCTGCCACGGCAGGGGGTCGGACTAGATGATCTCCTCAGGTTCCTTCCAACCCTACCAACTATGAAACTATAAAACCTCATTTCCCCCATCCAGGGGGCAAGTAACCTGATCATATGTTCTAATGCCACGCCCAAGACTGCTTGTTGGTAGTCTATGAAAAGCTGCCTGGCTAGTTAGACTTGGTACTGGCCATAGGGAATGACTTGGTGGGGGATCTGCAGGTGGAAGGTAAACTAGGGGATAGTGACCACCTGTTGATGGTGTCTGGAGAAAGGTGGGGATGATAACTTCAACAAGCTCAGGAGATTAGTTAGGGAGGGACTGATTGGTAAAAGCCTTGGAGAGATGGGAGTCCAGGAAGGGTGGGCATTTCTCAAGGGACTAATCTTGCAGGCACGGAAAAGACCATCCAAATACACATAAAAGGGGCCAAAAAAGCAAAGAAGCCCTCTTGGTTGAGCAGGGAAATCCCAGAGAGCCTGGAGGGGGAAAAAAAGAGGCCTACAGTCTATGGAAGCAGGGGGCTGTCACCAAGGAGGAGTATACCTGCTTGGCTCAAGCTTGCAGGGAAACAGTGAGGAGAGCCAAAGCAGAAATGGAGCTTAGGCTGGCAGCAAAAGTTAAGGATAGCAAAAAGTCATTCTTTAAATACATAGGAAGCAAAAAGAAAGTGGAGGGTAACTTAGGACCCCTTCAGGATGAACTAGGGCAACTGGTAACAGATAGGATGGCCAAAGTGGAGCTTCTAAATGAATTCTTTGCATCCATGTTCCTGGACACAAATACAAATATGCATCCCATTGGGACTTTAGGTAAGCTCGGTATAGATACCAACCCACCAACTGTTCATGCTGACCTAGTAAAAGGGCACCTGAAGGGGTTGAATGTATTTAAGTCAACAGGTCCTGACGATCTTCATCCTTGGGTACTTAAGGAATTGGCTGGAGCCATAGTGGAGCTGCTGGCACAACTGTTTGAGCACTTGTGGCGGTCAGGACAGGCCCCAGAGGATTGGAAAAGGGCCAATTAAGTCCCTGTTTTCAAGAAGGGGAGGAAGGAAGAACCAGGTAACTATGGGCTGGTTAGTCTTACCTCTATCCTTGGCAAGACCTTTGAGAAAATTATTAAGGATCACATTTGTGGGGTACCAGCGGGTAAAATAATGCTAAGTGGCAATCAGCATGGGTTTATAGCAAGCAGATCCTGCCTGACTAACCTGGTTTCATTTTATGACTGGGTCACAAAATGCTTGGATGAAGGAATAAAGGTAGATGTTATTTACTTATATTTTAAAAAGGACTTTGACACTGTGTCACACCTAATTCTTATAAATAAACTAACCAGTTGCAATGTAGATTATTACACAGTCTGGTGGGTAGAAAATTGGCTTATGGGATTCACCCACAGAGTTGTAGTGGACGAGTAGCTTTATACCTGGAGAAATGTAGGCAATGGAGTCCCCCGAGGCTCTGTCCTGGGACTGGTACTATTCAATATCTTCATTAGTGACTTGGACGAGGGAGTAGAAAGCACCCTGTTCAAGTCTGCTGACGACACCAAACTAGGAGGGAGGTACACAAACTAGACGGCAGGTAGCAAATCCAGGCTGATTTGGATAGGCTGGAGAAATGGGCCGAACACAATAGGATGCAGTTTAACTAGGATAAGTGCCATGTGTTGCACCTGGGGAGGAAGAATCATCAACACTCCTATAGCCTGGGAGGTACTATTCTGAGTAACACAACTGCGGAAAGGGATCTCAGAGTCGTAGTCAACTCCAAAATGAACATGAGTCACCAATGTGATGAGCATTGTTTTTCTTGCATAAGTAGGTGCATCAAACAGGTCAAGGGAGCTGATACTTCCCCTCTATGCAGCATTGGTCAGGCCGCAGATGGAGTACTACATCATTTTGAGCACGACACTTCAGGAGGGATGTGGATGGCCTGAAGAGGGTTCAGAGGAGGGCTACTCATCTGGTTAAAGGCCTACAGAAAAAAGCCTATGTGGACCAATTGGGAAACCTGAACCTCTTCAGCCTCTGCAAGTAGAGGCTGAGAGGTGATCTTGTGGCCACCTACAAACTCATCTGGGGCGGGGGGGGGGCAGCAAAAAATAGGGGATACAATGTTTACCAGGGCACCTGTTGGGGTAACTAGAAATAATAGCCACAAACTGGAAGAGAGCAAATTCAGATTGGACATCAGGAAAATATTCTTTAGTGAGGGCTGCCAAAATACAGAATACGCTTCCAAGGGAGGTGGTGCTGTCCCCTTCCTTGGAAGTATTTAAAAAGAGATTGGACAGACACCTGGCTGAGGTCATCTGACCCCAGTACTCTTTCCTGCCCAGGGCAGGGGGTCAGACTCAATGATCTAATAGGTCCCTTCCAACCCTAACATCTACGAAACTATGAAACCAATAAATAATAGTGAATTTATTATACTGACAACTTCCAAACTACCATATTTACTTTCATTTTTAAATTCAGGGTTGTATTAGATTCATTTAAGATCACCCCCCTCACCCCCAACAATAATTAGATTCTACAAATGGAAAATTTATAAATTTATTTTAATTTTCCATGTATAGAACCTAATTGTTAGACAGTCATCTATAATTCATCTCCCACAGCTGCAGGTAGTATGCGGGGGGCAGGCAGTAGTTGCAGCTGTGGCCCTTACTCCCGATAGGGACTGGAGTCTGAGCCACAGCATCCATCTCATACTTGATTCCAATACATGTTAAATGAGGGGGGGGCGGGAGAAACCTTGTCATCACGACTCAAGTAAATACAGTACATACTTTTTAAGACTTTTCAATTCTTACCACAGCTTCTGAAGTGGATATAGATTGTTGACTCTCAGTCCTGGGAATTCTCTCACATAGCATATGCAACTTTAATTTTTCAAATAATACCTATGTTACCAAAAACATGTGTGATATTGAAGCATATAAGTGTTTGAAAATTGAAATATGATAGAACATTACTATTGCATTAGATGGCTTTATAAATCAATTGAAATCTTATAGCAAAAACAGAAATAGCACAAAAAGGGGAAATTGAATTGCTTGATCTTTATAAAGCATTATCTTTTCTCAAGAGCAAAAAGGCAGTTTCTTTAACAGATGCTTAAAATAGATTTTGCTGTGCTTGCAAGAAACCTGACAAGAGACCTTCCACTATCATCATAAAAAGTGACACAACCAATACAGTCAGAACTAGCAAGCACAACTGCTTTATAATTTCTCTCTGCTGACGATAATTTATAGAGTTAATAACAAAGAAAAGTAGCAATCTAAATAATACCTCTCTGAGTTGACAACTGCTGGTCAAAAGGAATTGTTGCCCAGCAGCTCGATGGGCTTCCTGCTCAAGCTCTTTCAATCGCAACTATAAAATTGATATATCATCATTAATCTATATGCACTCCCTTTGTTCAACATACAGCTATTTTCTAATTTAACAAGCATGTAGAATTTTTTTCTTTCTTGTAAATTGATCAAGTATAACCACTGTTAATTATATTGAATTTAATGGGCTCTTTTTATATATTAATATATTAATTAATGATCTGGAAAGGGGAATAGGTAGTGACAGAGAAAAATATGTAAATTATTTGGACTAGTCAGGACCCGGAAGGGGGAAAAAGTAAACAAGATATATTAGGATACATGAAAATGCAAAGGGTAATAATACAGAAAGTCATAAATATTGTCAATATGAATGAATTGTACCACCTCATCTAAAATACTGTGTTGCAGTACTATCCACTCAGTCTCAAAATAGCATAATGCAGAATGGGAGGATGTTCAGAGGGGAAAATACAATGATCAGTGATAAAAAAAGCTTTCACATAAACAAACTGAAAAATAAAACTGAATTTTAAACAGGATGATAGAAATATATAAAATAACAACTAGCATAAAGAAGGGAGCTTAAGAACATATGTTCTCCATGTCTCAGAACACAAGAACAAAGGACGTTCAATGAGATCATAAGGACAGAGCATTCAGATCTTTTTCACATAACACGTGGCATGATTAGACTGTGGAATTCTTTGCCAGCCATCTTCCCATTAGTCACAAATAAGCAATGTCTCTTGTACGTGGAATTTGGAGAAAGATTCATGCTTTTTCTGGAAACTTCAGCACTAAAGGCCCACTCCAACTCAAGACCATCAGAATAGCTCATTCTTCCCGAGTTCTAAAAAACATTCCAGCAACCAATTGTGAGCATTAAAAACAATGAATTTAAGTTATAGTGCTAATCTCCTGGAAATTAAAAGTTCAACATCTCTTTAAAGAAAATTGCAATTTGTGTTCCAGTCATTTACCAGACCCTCAGAATGAGTTAAATAAGGATAGAAACCAATAGAAAGAAAGCTACCAGATCAGAACTCTCATTCTGTAGCACAGCTTGTAACCATTTATCAAAAGCAGGGGCCAGCAAGCAATGATCCACAGGAGTGGGAGACGAAAGGATTAGGTGAAGTTTTAAACATTACTGCTACAGGATAGGAAGAAATAAAAGTTACCATCATAAAAAGAGATGCTTTGTTTATTAACAAACTTTTTGGGAAGCAGTCAATATATGTTCCTAGCAAAGGACACTTTTGCAGAGGAAGCCTTCATCAGATGAACTCAGATTTTCTTCTGACAAAGCTATGACAGACTTTGAAGAGACAGCCTCCTCCTACACCCACCGCCAGCATCTCTCCATCCCACCGCAGCCTCTGCTCAGCCCACTAGCAGCAGCTGTGGTGGCAACTCTGGTCCAGGACCCAACTGGAGCAGCCACTGCCGCCACAGCTCTCCTCTATCCAGACGTTAAGTTCATTGTTACAGAGAAAGTTTGACCTCATTGTTTTAGAAGAGATATGAACACGCATGGTTCAACCCATAAGAAACTTCTTATGGAAAATTGGAGGAAAATCCCTGTAGGTACATTATTATATAAACTTGTCACTTCAGGGCTTCTTGCAGCTGGTCCCAGCCATTGTCATAGCCAGGATGCTGGACTTTATTTATTGGTCTGATTCTATGAGACCAATCTTGTATTTTTGTTCCGACTCTGCACTGGTGGAGTGGTCTTCCTTCCAAACTAGTGCTCCGCTCGGCAAGGCTTGCGTCCTCCAAGAGAGCCTAGAGCAGGGGTGGGGCAAAATGGCAAATTCAGACAGTGGCCAGATTCCATTTCCCAGCAGCCCCTGCATGCATCGCTCTATCCAGTCTCCATGGAGACCCCAGAGTGGCAGGGCTGTGACAGCATGGGGCCAGGATCTCCATGGAGACCAGCCCAAACAGCACTAGCAGGGCGCATGGCTAGGCAAGGAGCTGCTCCAGGGCTGGGATTTTTGGGGTTTTGCTCTGGCCCATGCCGTCACCACCGCAAAATCCCAGCCGCGGCCCCATTGCACCTCCCCGTCCAGTTATGCACCCTCCCAGCACTGCTCAGGCCAGTCTCCATGGAGACCCAGGGAGCACAGGGCTGTCATGGCCCTGCTGCTCCTGGGAACCATGGAGACCCACCAGTGATGGAGGCAGAGGGAATGAAGTCCACAGCAGACCTGATGCAGTCTGCGGGCCAGACTTTTCCTGCCCCCGGTCAAGAGTGAAAATTGGGTTGTCTTCAGCATGTTTATCCTAAATGTGCTTTTGTGAGCATGCAAGATATGATCTGGGAATCGCACCTAATTTTGCTTTGCTTCTGGCAAGTGAATCCATTTCCTGAAAGAATTTCTGAAGACAGGTCTTTAAGAAACCCCACTCGGGATGATATTGATGCCTGGTACCAACAACTGCTGTCTACTTTGACCTGGGGATAAGCAATTCTCTGCAATTAATTCATAGATTCTTTTCCTTTTTTTTTTTTTAAAGATGCATTTGAACCCTTTTCGCAGCCAGTGAGCTGATTTTATGGGTTGTTCTGGCACTGAATGGCATATTGTCCATGCATGGAAAGTGGTGCATAACTTAAGAGCCTCTGGATTTGGAGGCCAAATCAAAAGGAAGTCATGAACGGGACTTATTCACATATGCACATTTGTCTTTTTCATTCTGGAGATAATCTAATTTAGGAAGAAAATGTACACTTAGCTTCCTCCATATTTTTCCTTTCATTTAGGAGAAATGTTACTGTTAAACAACAGTAGATTTCAGAATGACCTACGAATTGGTATGCTGGTTTTGACAGCAAGAGGCAAGGCCTCTCCACATTCTTAGCTATTAATTTCTCCAATGTTTCCCCAGAGATTCTCACACCTGTGCATTTGGATGTACCTGGTATTTGTTCAGAATGACTTAATGCTATTCATGGATGTAACAATATTTCCTTTTATCTTTGCTACAAATCATAATAAGCACTTGATCAGAGCATGAACCCAAGTTCTCTCTCTCTTCAAAGCAAGGCTCATACGTCTAGCTCATAGATGATGAGATGCTTTTTTGCCACTAAGTACATTTCCCTTGTTAAATATAGGAAAAACTTTTGGTCTGAACTGCTCCAGTGGAGTGTCTGAGTCTCTGTAGTGTGCTTCCATTCTTGGACTTTATGTAATATTCTGAGGTATGGTAGAGCTGATAGCACTACTGCTGGACCAAACTTAGGTTCCCAAAACAAGAAATTCATTTTTACATAATATTTTAATGTAACAATTGGTTTTAACCCAAAGTTCCTGTTTGGAAGGCTAATGCCTCAAGGTCCTAGCGGTGTCTCAGCTCAGTTAAATTAGAAGCTAAAGTGAAGCTGCTATTGCGTTAAATTAAATAAAATAGAGTTATAAAACAAAGTAGTTGTTCTATGAACCAAATGAAGCACCAACTTGTTCAGCCAATAAAGGCAGAAATTCTGGTGGCAGGAGCTGAAGGGTTGGAGTCTGCCTGGAACCAAAAGCAACACAACCCCATAACTTCCCGGCAAAAGACAATACCCATTTGTGATGAATGAGAAAAGCTGCAAAGCAGTAAAATATCACCTGTGTGCCCTTCATCTAAAGCAGGGATGGGCTAAACACAGCCCACAAGTCTTTATCCAGGCCATGGCAGGCCCCTCGGTCCCCTGGCCCAGGCACAGTCCAGCCATGGCATGTCCTGCTGCCTTCTGGGCATGCAGCGGGGCTGAGGCGGCTCTGCAGCTGGACTGCTTTTCTAGGCAGCCCAGGAGGCAGGCAGTTCCTTCTGGTTGCTACCGCCACTGGCCGCAGCCCCACGGTACCAGTAGGGACCCATGCTGCTTGGCCCCGACCCCACACACCCCACACTCACCCATCAAGGCTCAGCAGCAGCAGCACAGCACAGAAGCTGTTGCTCAGTGCAGGGAAAAGCGGCCCCTCCCCCTCCTGCAGCCAACAGTTCCCTACTGCAGCTGCCCAAATCCCATGCTGCACTGCCCTGTGTCTGTTCTGCATTGCCACCGCTGACTCGTGGGGCTGGGACTAGCCGTACCGGCAGCTGGAAGGAACCACCTGAACCTGGGCTGCCTAGAAAGGCAATCTAACTGTGGAGCCACCCCAGCCCCCCTGCATACCCAGGGGGTGGCAGGACACATCATGGCTGGGCAGAGTGAGGCAGGCCAGGTCAGGGCTGTGTGCAGGCTCCAGCAGGGGTGAGTCTGGAGTGGATGCAGGGCATGCTGGGACTGTGTGCTGCTGGCACTGTTGGGGAGGTGCTGTAGGGTGTGCGGGCTCTGGGCTGTTGCAGGGTGCGGGTGGGTGTCCAACGGCTCAGGGGGGTGCACACGGGGGGCTCCCACTCACACTCCATCATACACACAAAAACCCTCCTCTGCAAAATGTGAGGTACTGTGGGTCAAGAGTCATGGGCAATACCAGAGCCAGGGGTGCTATGGCTTGGGAGTGAGGGGCACATAGATGTGCACAGACAGCACGCAGCAGGAAATTCTGTGGAAGGGAATGGGCAGTGGGAGGGGGAAGGAGTGGGGGGAGGCAGATCGAGGCCCCCATGGTGAGGAAGGGAGTGGAACAGAGCCATGGGCAGCGTGTTCAGGGGCAGTGCAGGGAAGGGGCAGCTCCCTGCCGCTGTGCATACCCCTGCTGTGGGTATGCAGACCCCCACAGATTTGTGTGCAGGGCAGAGGAGGGCTGCCTGCTGCAAGCTGGGGCTCTGCAGCCTGCTGCCTTTGCCCCAGGAGCCATGCAATGCCATGTCGTGCCTCCTGCCACTGGGCAGGCAGGAGAAATGGCATGGCCAGCGTGCATCTCCCAGGGCAGGCGCAGCAGGGTGCAGAGTCCCAGCCTGCAGTGGGCAGGTGCCCCCCATGCCTCCCCCAGGGGTGTGCACCCTGCCCAGCCCTGGGGACCCATTCACCCCTGCCCCTCTCTTCCACCATGAGGGCCTCAATCTGCCCCCCCCCCCCCTCCTCCC